ATCTGTATGAAAATTAGTTTGTGCTATGGACGATGGATCTGTTAACTTAGGCCTAACTTATTTGAGGTTAACTTGGCCTATAAGTGGTTTATATGTGTTAGACCTAATAGTTCCTTTTATTAATGTTCCTGTCTGTCGGCATAACAAAATATTAGTTAACTTAGTATGACAATTTCCACCACGAATACTTGAACAGACCCAGTATATATCATAAACATAAACAAATGACGTTTTTGGCCTGAAAGTTAACAAACCCATATGCTAATTAATGCCATATGTTTACGTAAAAATTAAAGTTACAAAATATTGTGTTTAGGTAGCCATTTATTTGAAGAAGTACTATATTATTCAGAATTGTGTTTGTACTACACTATTGATTGTGATTGTTACTGTTACAACATCGAGCAATCAATTTTTTTTTTAATTTCAATTAAATGTTTTCATTTTTTAAACATTTAGCACATTCCTTTAGTTTAGTCACAAGTATTTTCAATTAAACTATAAAAATAAAAGGTCGGCTAGTAAGTTCTAATGTGTTTGACATTCAAGTACATTTAATTTTGAACATAAATTACAATAAATATTCATTAGTAAAGGCAAATTTAATACCACAATAATCACCATGAAAACCCATGACCCTAGAGTAGTCATTTAGTTTGGACATTGTTTCTGCAGCCATCAGATTTTGTAAAACTTCTTTATGTTCGTGTATTGCCGTGTCTAAATAAATAAATAAATAGAGTTAATGAATGGCAGGGGATTAGTTTAGGTATCAGGCCAAAAACGTCATTTGTTTATGTTTAAGATCCATACCGTTTCTGTTCAAGTATTTATGGTAGCAACCAATTTATACTATGTAGCCTACAATAAAACTATCCCAGTAGTAGTGGTAGTAGTAGTAGTTAATGTCTAATTTCAGAATTTGGTAGGTAACTGAGGAATCTAAAAAAACCCTTATTTTTTGTTTGAGAATAGAGTGCTAGGGAAATTATAAGGACTTAGCACAAGCATAGACAAAAAGAATTAAATATAGACTGTCAGCCGTGCTGCGGTTACCATGGTTACCATAGGTTCTGGCGCACACCGCTGTAGTTTACGTGGCGCATGTACGCCGTAACTACATGGCGCTCCAAACGGTGTGCGCCAGAACCTATGATAACCGCAGCATAGCTGACGGTCTATAGGCCTATTTAATTCTTTTTGTCTATGGTACAAGGTGCCAAAATCTGGCCGATACAAAAGAACAAAAAGCTAGGATAAATAAATAACTTTAACACCTGACAAAATGGCGTTGACCAAAAAATTAAAAGGCCACTTAACTGCAGGCCATAAAGGAGAGAAGATAAGGTACTTTCCTGTTAAAGGGGACATTCATTATTACCGGTATATCAATGATTTCTTTTCGATATATATTGATATTTTAATTGTTGATGATACCATATATCGATATTGACAAATTGAAACATAAGCTGACAACTATGATGAATAAATATTGTTCAGTATCAACAAACATTAAAAAAGTATATTGGAATGAAACTGTTTTAAACTAACCTAACCAACAAACTTGCTGTAAAATTGTAAAAATTCCGTTTGATAACATTTTCCATTTCCTACGTGCCTTTTATGTTTTCAAATTGAATCTTGAAACGGTAACTTAGCCTACAGCAAGTCTGGTTAGTGTTAAGTTAGTTTAGAATAGTTTCATTTCTTAATCCATATAGGCAGGTTTAAACTGTTAACAGTTTATTTCGAGGAGTGTTACATGGTAGATGACCAATTTAATAACTGGGTGGCTCAGTGATCGCCTATATATAGTGCTCGCCTAGTAATCAAAAGGTCAGCCTACTCTCCGGTTCGAACCTGACTAAAGTGTGTAGTTTTTTGATGGTTCAAAACTGGACCCAGCTGTCCTTGATAATTGGGCTTTTGAATTAATGTTGGTCCTGGCTAATGAAACAGCTGGTCTTGGTCAGTAAACTATTAAGACATGCATGCACTGTCGATGCGAAACCCCATGTTGTGGATTAATGTCCGCACTTAGTGAGTACCTACTAAGACTATCCGCAGTAAACTATCCTGATAATTAGACCAGTTCGTTAATTTCAAGGCAAAAATGTGGTACGGATTCCACTATAAACTTTAGGTCCCTTAGTTGCCATTGGCTGTAAGGGCTATGATATACAGCGTGAGTTTTAATTGTCCCCCCCCCCCAACTTTTTTCTACATTTTTTCAAATATCAATCCCAGACCACTTTCAAACATTGTTGGGTAGTAAGTACTTCATTTTGAAAAGGTGGTCATTTCCGGCCGCCATCTTGGATCCGCCATATTGGATGCAAAATAATTTTTTCAAATGTAAACGAGGAGTTGTGACCCATTATTTCCAACTAGGTTTTTGCCCTGATTACAATGCCACAAACCGTTTTTAAAAATCTTGATTCATTCCAAAGTTATGAGGGCTTTTTAACACTTTATTTTTAGCCCATTTTAACATTGTGCATGTACAAACTAAGACCATAATCTCAAAATAGTGCTAGATAAAGTTAAGTATACACTACCAGTCATTGTCGACCTATTTTCACTTGGTTATGACTGATGAATTTTTTCCGGCCGCCATCTTGGATCCGCCATTTTGAAATGTGATAAATTATTTTTAAATATGAAGGGGGTGTTGTGACCCATCATTTCGAACTAGGCTACTTTTTTAAGCTTAACTCGATGCCGCAATTCATTTTTTGTTATCAAGTTTTATTTATGAAATACTGCATTATTTTTGTTAAAAATGTCAATATTTCAAAATCTAAATATGAAAATGAAAAACGGATCATGGAATTGAGTTTAGCTTAAAAAAGTAGTTCGAAATGATAGGTCACAACACTCCCTTCATATTTAAAATAATTTATCACATTTCAAAATGGCGGATCCAAGATGGCGGCCGAAAAAAACAGTCATAACCAAGTGAAAATCGGTCGACAATAACTGGTAGTGTATAGGTACTTATCTTTATCTAGCACTATTTTGAGATTATGGTCTTAGTTTGTACATGCACAATGTTAAAATGGGCTAAAAATAAAGTTTTAAAAATCCCTCATAACTTTCGAATGAATCAAGATGTTTAAAAACGGTTTGTGGCATTGTAATCAGGGCAAAAATCTAGTTGGAAATCATGGGTCACAACCCCACCTTTACATTTGAAAAAAAATATTTTGCATCCAATATGGCGGATCCAAGATGGCGGCCGGAAATGACCACCTTGTCAAAATGAAGTACTTACTACCCAACAATGTTTGGAAGTGGTCTGGGATTGATATTTGAAAAAATGTAGAAAAAAGTTGGGGGGGGCAATTAAAACTCACCCTGTATATTAACAGCTGTGTCTAAGGAACATGTCGGCCTAGTCACTAACAAGGCTACAAGATCACGCCACTCATCTTACACTCATCTCTCCAAAGTAACAGCTGGGTAAAAAATGGCAGCCGTTCAAAAATTCAAAATGGCAGATTAAAGAAATATTCTAACGGCTGCCATTTTTGACTTGGTTGTCCGTCTGAGTTTTGGTTTACGGTGGGCCTATTGTGTTTTATTTTAAACATCTTTGCCACCAAGACTGATATTCGAATCTATAATAGGTTACGTATCTTAGGCTACTTTGGTCCGTCTTCAGTCTTATTTTAGTCTATGGATGACTAGTTTCGGGTACAAAGACCCATTATCAAATCCTTTTAAAACATCGTGTAGAAGATGGTCTCCTCCTGAAGCTGGTGTAGAAGCTCCTGCTTACACGGCGGACACAACGTCGTGACAACATGTCGTGTCCGCCGTGTAACCTGCGTCGGTTTGTCCCGTGTTAAATGTGGCCGGCCTATCGTCTTATATGTTTCGTAATATGTGTTTTTTTTTAATAATAAACTTTATGTGCTAACCTGTATTTAATGATGAAGACTTCCGTCGGATTTTTGACCAGCTTCTACACGATGTTTTAAAAGTATTTGATAATGGGTCTTTGTACCCGAAACTAGTCATCCATAGACTAAAATAAGACTGAAGATGGACCAAGGTACGTAACCTATTATAGGCCTATATTGTGTTTTATTTAATGAGACCTTTAATTTGATACCAAACTTGACCTATGCTGCTATTTGAAAATTTGTTCTTACTCCTCGTGGCCCATCCATAAGAGGTAAAAAATGTAATTAATAGGAAAGAGTAGCATTATGGTTATTTTAGGTATAGGCTACCAAGTTTTATTACTTTTTAGCCTATCTATAAGGGTAAAAAATATATTACACCGCTCCGAGACTTTTCAATCACACTGTATAATCAGATGAGAAATAGGTGGCCAAGTGACATTTGTTTACAAGTTCTTTATCCAGGTTATCTGGGGGATTATGTTTTTGACTACTCTTGAGAAATTCTAGCTTATTAGCCTATGCCAACTTATATAAATCAGAGCTGAATGAAATAAAAGAAATTTGATATAGGCTAAATCAATCATATTTTTACGTAAAAAAAAATTAGTTTTTTCCTGAGTTGGTATACTTGATCCACCTTGGATGGCCCCCAGTAAAGCCGTTTTTTTAACATTTCGTAGTAGCCTACCGGTAAGTTAGATGGCTTCCACTAACTTATGTGCTGTCACCAAATGTTAGTAGGTAACGTCAAATGTTTACGACAGTCCACTCTTTGATCGGTTGCCAAAATTTCTTATAACTAGAAAATATGCAAAATTCGTTTTACTGAGGTGTTTACTGAAAAACTTAGGCCTATTGACAATATCAAAATATTGTCAAAAAAATAGGGTTGTGGCTATCTTAGCATTCTTTTGATCTTGTGAACACTGGTTTGAACCATGTCTTTTACACTCAGATACAAATAAGGATTTAGTAAAAAACAACTTCATTATGATCCCCATAAAAAAAATTTGATTCAAAAACTGAATTGCCTCTAACAAAAAAACTCAACAAAATAAACATGCAAAGAAATTAATTTTACTTCCTTACCTTATAAATTTACTCCACTATTAATTGTATCTGAAGATGGTAGGCTATTGGCAAACTTGTCTTGCAACGATTCGTTTCTTTGAAAAATCAATTCACATGTAACACTAAGTTAACTAAAATATCTTCCACAAGTCCATACTGGTTGATTTGCACAGAGTAAGGAAAAAATTTTAATTTATCAGAAAAATTATTAGGCTACCATAAATAGTCCAAATTCTTAAAAATATTACTGTACAAATGAAAATTTCATCTGGTAGGCCTATATTTTAACAATTTTTAATTATTATGTAGCCTAGATAAGATGCAATATTATAGGCCTAGGCTATAAATGCAATGCACCAAGCATAAAAAATGTTCTCATTTAGAAAAAGCTGTACAAATAAGAAACATAAATACGGACCATTTTGAAAAATTTTATGATAAAAAATTAAGTATTTTCTCTGGCCTCACAAAATACAGACATTATGAAGTAAGTCTTTGTCTATAATGCAGTATATTATGGATATAAATATGAGTTATCACAATAAGTTCAAAATGTTAATTAATACACATTTCACTAAAATTTTGTTTATATAACATGAAGGGTGGTTTAGTACTTAAGCCATTCATGATCGAGACATTGAGCAGCTGTTGCTCGTCTATTTGGATCAAAATCAAGCATAGGACGTAAAAATGCAGCAAATGCCTTGGCTTCTTCTGGATCCCAGTGATACTTCTCGGTTAGTACATCATAAAGATCCCAAGGTTTAAGACCTGTTATATGTTTCAGTTCACCTTTTGAATTGAAAAACTGTTGGGACTGCTTGCCAGATTTGATAATTCTTCTGGGTATTTCACCTAAAAGCTCTATAATATGTGCCAGGTGATCTTCATCCCTGGAATATTCTTCACCGGAATGTGGTTCAAATAAGTAATCACCCGTAGCTAACTCAAAGGCCATACAAGCTGTGCTCCAAATATCAGCTGATGTGTTGTAACCAGCACCAATTAACACCTCAAGAGATCGATATTGTCTTGTCTGAATATCTTCAGTAAAATGTCTATCTACCCAACAGGCATTCCCCAAATCTGCAATTTTTACATCCATTTCGCATTCCCAGCGAGACGGGTCAATTTCTGATCCTCTGTACTTTTTCTCGGAAGTGGGTGGGGATGATACAGGACTGCCTTCTCCAGTGCTTATCCTCTCTGTTACCATTTCCTCTCCTGCGCCTCGTTCAGATGGTTTCTCATCATCAGATTTACATGTGGCTGGACTTTCTTGAGTATTCATTGCTTCTTCTTCATCTTCATTTTCATTGTCACATGTAAGAACCACATTTTCAATGGAAGCTTCTATGTTAGTACACCCATTCTGATACACCGTATCAATAGCTTCTTTCACAATTTCTACAGGTGATACCTCAGGTAACATGCTTTCATTATCCACTTCTCCTACTTGTTCAGTGACTATGCCATCCTCAATAGAAACACTCATATTTTTTTCAGAGTGTTCCTCTTCTTTTGGAGGTGGAACTTTCTGTAACTCTTCTAACTGCTGCATCTGTTTTTTCAACAGTTCAGAGTGCCGCTTAGCTTTCTTTTTAAGCTTCTTTTTCTTGTTTCTGGACATCTTCGCATTCAGCTGGGGTTCTTGAAATTCTTTTGGCGCAGTACTAATCAATGAAGTGGGAAGCTTGATTCCCATTGAGTGTAACTCTGTTGCTTCGCAGGCCAGCTTTCTAATGTAGTTTTCACTCACACATAGCAAAACATTTTCAGGCTTTATATCGGTATGAATAATTTTGCACTTAGTATGTAAGTAGTCTAGTCCTTCAAGCACTTGCCTAATAATACATTTAACATTTCTTATGGGAATGCCTCGATAACTACTTTTGATGATTAACTTTAATAAATTGTGTCCAAGCACTTCAAATACCATACATACATGAGAACCATTTACACCAGTAATCCTAAAATCATTGAGTAACTGAACAACTTTGTTCCTCTTCTCATCATTGACATCACTGTCCCGCACAACTTTTAACAGTTTTATTTCATCTAGGGCTGTTTCTGTGAAATGGCTTGCACTTTTTACTACTTTCAAGGCAACAAACCTTTTATCTATTAAGTCCCAACAAAGCCAAACTGTTGAAAAATGGCCCCAACCTAACTTCCTTGTGACATGATACCTTCCTTGAAAGAGATCACCAATCTTGACAGGATGATAGCCTCCTTTACAATAATCACTTGAATCCTCTTGCTCTTCTTCGTCTGAAGTGTAAGGCTCATCTTCTTCGTCTTCGATCGTTTCATTAGATGAAGAATTACTCGGGCAGGATTTGCTTGTGTAGGACTTCTCTTTAGGTGTGGTAGAACTATGTTCTTCATTCTTTTGAGGTTTTCTCTTTCCAGCTTTATGACGTTTTTTCTTTGCCTGAATGGCTAGTACACGACGGTTTGCATCTTTGTGAGCATACATAATTACTAAAACGAAACGAAACCACACGAACTAAATACAATTTACAAATCTAACCTAGTGTTTTCAACCAGTCGTTTCTCTTTTCAGCATGGCGGACTAACAATAAACATAATTTATTGTTACGACAGCTGTTCGTGTTTGGAAATCATATTTTTAAGTCCAAAGGGGAAGTTTTTACGGGAAATTTACGGGAGTGTGCTGAATGTAGCATTGATTATATTCTTCCCTTGGGATATATCAATGTATGATATTTGGGATCTCAATTATTGTAGTTTATGTAGCAATGACTAACTTAGTTGATATTTTATGTGACGTTTAAAACACAATATTACTTAATTTTCTTTTTGTGTAAGGTATAAAAAATAATTGTGTAGGGTATATTGTCCTGAGGAGTGTGTTTTTATCTATGGTATAACTTACTGGATTATTTAACATCCTTGAAACTTATTTTGAAAAGAATCTCTTCAAAAATGTGTGTTTTAAACTGTTTTGACATTAACTTTGATCAGTAAAAGTTGTTATATACCTAATATTAAAATATGTTTACAAGGAAGTATATTTAATCCATTGTTATGACTTATATCATAAAGTATTGACCATTAACTCAAGACGAGAGCACGCCCCGTGGTCGAAAAATCGACCAAAAGTATGTTTTGTACAACCTTCTCTATTTTCACCCCACACTGTAAATAAAACATGTGATTGGAATGTCTTCCATTTGTTTTGATTTTCTGTTTATATTGTGTTGTTATTTCGTCATCACCATAGCAACCCATAATACCCATGTTAATTTTTTTAAATTTCAAATTCATTTTTTGTGCTTATTTTTGAGCCTATTTTAATTTATAAAGGGATTCTGCACACCTACAGGAAAATAGCTTTCTAACGGTATGCGTAGATTTTTCCTACGATACACGCGAGCTGAGAAAAAAGGTTTTAAAGAAACATGCTTGCCTATTAATATATAGATAGAAGATAGATTTAGATTTGGATTCGGGTAGATTCTACAATTCATTTGTACCGTGTATGCTTACTCGTTGACCACGATAATACACTCTTTTAATTATATTGAAAAAGCTGACGCCAGATTTTGTATTTTTGTAAGACAGGTACGTCTACATGTCGGGTAACGCCCACTTTTAGCACTTACTTGGTGCCACCATAGACTGCCTAACACAAGGGAGTGGTGAGGAGTATGCGTTACAGTATGTATGGTGCCACCGAAAAAAATCTGTTATAGAGATCTGCTTGGTGCTGACTTAGGGTGAATAAATAATTGTGAAGAATTAAGGAATGGTCAGATTTTGAAGAAACTTTGCCATGGGGGGTCCTACATTTGGCAGGTTACAATGTAGGTGTTGTAATCTGATTCAGCATTGTGACAGAGTAATTTCTCCCGGCTTTTGCAAGCAGCTCCTTTTATTGTCACATTCATAAGTGTGAGTGAAAATGTTGAAACGTACGTTTTAATGTCCCTGGCCTATATAGCGTACGCCGTACATTGTCATTTGATGAAGTAGACATGGTGTTAATTTTTGTTGATATGATATTTTAATTGCTACGTTAACCTAGAAATCCACTTTGCCTCCTCAAACATGAGGTGTAGGGCTGCCGTTAGAACAGAGCCAAATAATACGTGATTTCACGACCAGGGTATCACGACCATCATGTGTTTTTTTTTCACGACCATAATAGCTTTATCGATTGTATATATTATGTTATGGTCGTGGAAATAAATTTAAACATCATTGTAAATTGCACAGTGTTTAGTTTAATTGCAACACAAATCTGTTTTATAACAAAAGGTACAATTAATTAATTGAATGATGTCAAAAATAGGTATTGAACTATGTTTACATTGACAGGTTTTTTTTTTCTTTTTACCTTATATAAGGTAACGCTTATTTTATAGAGTTAAATATATAGCTATAACGTTTTAAAAATAAATTTTGGTTTATCAAAGTCTTGTGGAATATTATAAGAATTAAGTAGGTTTAAACCTAAATAAACAATATAGTGATTCTCGTTAATTGCCAATTCCAGTCCAGACCGTAACATTTGTTCCTGGCCATAACGGTAATTATTTTAATTATTTAGATAATAAAAATTCAAAAATTGATAAATAATCATGTTCCAATGTTTTATAGACACGAAGGACGCCTCTATAAAAACAGAAAAAGGTATTTCATATTTCGGGAATGTTTGTTTGGAGTTATACAAACTTATAGAAATTTTGAAACTTTTTAATTTTTTGGGGTTTAATTTTGTTTAGAAAGACCAAATTTACCAAAGGCTTAATGAGCTTTTGATTGTAAAATGGTCCTAAAACTAAATGTATTTACAGCAAAACATATTTATTAAAATAACATTAACTATTCTTAATATTCATTTTTACGTCTGTTATGGTTGTGACAGGATTTTGTGTATTTTTCATTCAAGATGCTATATTAATAAATACCCCCGCCGCAGCAAACCTGCAGACTAAGCAAATTTCCATTAGCCTGCGATAGGATTTACACTAAAATGCCTCCTTAAAAATATCAGATTTATTCCCTATTTAAATAGAATTAGTTTAACGAGTAGGTACTTAGGTTTGCTGCAACAGGGAGGATAAAAACGTGTTTTTTTAATTTTATTTTAATAGTTTAGTGAAATGAATGTATTTTCCAAATTCAATCAAAATATGACCATAAACAAGCAAACTACAACAGTTGACTTATTCTCCATAAGAATTATAACATGGGAATTTTAAATTTACAATTTTTTGGAATTTTCTTCATGTTAGGCACACAATAACGCTTCAATATACTAAATTATTTTTTTTTTTAAGCTCTACAAAATGATTTGGAAAGAAGTTGTGAAATTTTGTGTTTTTAGGGACAAAATGAGAAAAACTTATTTTTACCCCATAAAACCCCCCATAAACCCCCGTTCCCATAGTCCGATCATGCTGGTTCGCAAACTCGTTTGAATAAATGTAGGTTTACACGTTTGTACCAAATTTCATCAAAATCGGATCATTTTTGCTCGAGTTATCGTGCTAAACGGACACATATATTATATATATTAAAGAAAGCATACTAACTCAGTACCCTGAAATTAATTTTTATTTTTTAAAACTCTACATACCTTTAAGCCATTTACAAGAGTAACATATTTAACCTCACTTTAAACACAACAAATTGACAAATAAATAAACATCAAGTGATGATCTTGACATATGATTTTCTTTTTCTTACAATTTATGGTAGGATAATCTTTGAAATTTCTCATGAAATTTTGTCATATATATATATATATTTATAATTGATTACGGTTTTTTTATCTTTCTCTTGACGTTTGTGTTAAATATTCTTTAATTTTAAATTTTTTTCATATATAGGATTTTGTTTCTTTACTTGCATCGTATTGATTATATTCGTTGGATCTTTCTTGTAGCTGCAGTATATATGATATTCTTCTTTTGTATCTAATTTATTTCCTTTTTATCCGTAGTCCAAAACTGACATATCTGTTTCAATTTTAGTGAATTTATGATTCTCATTAAGCTCTGCTACATTACTTTTCATACTAGTTACATCCTTTGATTTAAACGCTTGTACATGTTCTTTATATCTACAGTTAAATGACCTTCCTGTCTGTCCAATGTAATACTTTTCACAATCTGAACATTTTATTTTGTAGATACCAGAGTTCTCATATTTTGAAGTTACAGCTTGGTTGTTATCTTTTTTGGCCCTTTTATTAATTACTTCTAATGCATTGTTTTTGGTTCGGTAACTTACATTTCATTTAGAATTTTTGAATGTTTTCCTGATTGCTCTATTGAATTTACTATTATATGGAACACAAATAAAACCATTCTTTTGTTTTTCTGTTACAATTTTGTTCTTCTTTTTTATTTGTTTTTTCTTAATCATGTTTTCTATCATTCTAGGGTTGTATCCATTTTTAAATGCCAAGTATTTAATTAGATTCTTTTCTTTTGTGAAACTAGATTTGTTCATTGGGATATTGATCAACCTATTTGTTAATGCGTGGAATGTAGACATCTTTTGTTCCCACGGGTGGTTTGAGTCTGCTGGTATTATGCAGTCACTTGTAGTTGGTTTTCTATAAATTTCAAAGTTTATGAGATCTATTTTCCTTTGAAATCGTCACGTCTAGGAAATTTATAAGGAGTTGATACAGTTTAAAAGTCTTCTTGATTCTTCTTCCGTACCTTCAAATAGACATAATGTCATCGACATACCTGAACCAATATTTTATTTTATTATAGAACGGATTGACTTCATTCATAATTTTTTTTTATTCCATGTTATGCACATATTTTTATGTCTGCCAACAGTCCTGAAAGTGGAGATCCCATGGCAAGTCCTTCTTTTTGTATGTAGTATGATGAATCAAATTTGAAATAATTTTGACTATTTGCAATTTTTGTAAGTTTTACTATATCTTCTATTTCATTTTTTGACAAGGTTTTATTTTGGGTTAATGTTACTTGCGTCAAGGCATGCGTTAAGAGGCATGCGCTTGGCGCACACCAAAGCGCACGAGTGTGGACATAGCTATCAACATTCGGTTAAAATACCAAGCAGCAACATAAACCTGTGATTCACTATGAGAACTTTACTTTTTTCTATTGTTTAGGTGCAGTGGTTGAACATTTATTAATTATGGCTATGGTAGATGTACTAAATGGCATAACGTAAGTTAAAAGAATGAAACCGTATCCTTTCGCAATGCAAGTGCAAAGCACGAGGGCACGAGTATAACTATCTGAAATAAGCATATTATACACCAATTTTATTTAAATTTTTATCTTTTTTTAATTGATTTAAAGTTAAAACTATATTATACAGTAATATCAATATGATGCAATACTTATGTCATAGCTAGACTAAACCAGTTTGCAGTTGCTTTTATTGAGTGTTCATTATTTAAACATGTTCATGATAAAAAGAAAAAAATACACTCAGACCAAATGCTTGGTATACATACAAAATAATTAATTAGTTCAGGGAGTAATTTAATTAGATTTGCTGCTATGAGGAACACAAAAATAGTTGATTTTTTATTTGATTTGAAATTGTCTTACTACATAAAATTTGCTGACAATGTAAAATGACCAGTGCCTGAGTGAAAAGATAAGAAGTTATTTGTAGGATCCTCGCAATAAGCAAATTTAGTAAAAAGTTTTACCATAGCTTAACAAGCACTTTTCAAATCAAAAGTTTACATAGGATAATAAAACCCTTTGTTGTAGTATAAAGCATTTTATTTTCAACATACAATTGCATCGAACAGTGTACAGTGGTATAAAATACATGATAAAAACATGGAATGGTAGGTACAAGTTAACATTTGGCAAATATCACAGATTTGGACGACTGGACCCACAAACAATCTCACTATGTAACATGTTAGATACATTATATACAATCAAAATCCTAAAACATCGGGGTAGCAACCACAAGATTTATGACTTAACTAAAGACTGACACTTTTCTACATAAATTTTTAGTTGGTCCATGATAAAGGACTGTGATATTATACAAGATACGCAAGTTGAAAAGATCACAATGTTTCTTGTAGTTTGGTCAGGTTTTAATGTGTTAGGATAGGTAGTGTTAAACACTACATTAAGTTCATTTCTAAAAATGATAATATTATCGAACATATCAATTCATATAATAAATCAAATGAAGACATTACAATTATACGATGGTTGTCCATAAATTAAGGTATGTAAGCTCCTGCTGTAAGTAAGCAAAGCTATATCAAATCTGAGACCAATGCTGTGTTCCTTACTTCACCCATTACTATTCTGGATGGTTCCCAACCGGATGATTCGCCCAATCAAAATATTCAAAAATTTCAATATCTGATGATTACTGTTACCAGTTGACAGATGTGTATACAGAAACGTGGTTTGATGTAGAGAATGTACTTTAGTGGCTTGGGGATCGCACAGAAGCCACATAGTAGATATTTGTAGATACGGATAGGCAGTGAGTGTTCCATCAGTTTGCATCGAGACAGTGGTTGAATTTGAGGAAACTCACGACTTCCAGAGCTGACCATAGCCCTTGATAATCCCCTGTAGGTTCCGGTTCCATAATCTCTCTTGTTCAGTCACATCAAGATCCGCATACAAAAGTCAGCTAAGTTTGGTCACTGCTACAAATGAGAATGATGAACAGCTACAGTTGGCCTATACCAAGGAAAAAGTTGTGTAAATGTTTTCACACCACCTTAAGCACATTTTCTCCATCCACATTGGTCGTTTTTGTTCTCAGAAAAAGTTGTCTTTATTGCAATAGGAGCTTGATGTAGACCTTAATTTACAGACAACCTTCATATGTAAAACATATTGTTGTTGTTTATGGCTCATAATACAGCTTTGTGTTAGCATCTGTTTTTTTACAGAGCCAAAATGAAAACTAAAATTTGAGATCAGGCTGTTTTAAGAACCATTACGATTAGAATCACCATGAATGGATGGTTAAGGAAATAATGCAAGTAGTGAACTAGTTGACATTTTATACCTATTTCTAAAGTGAAATTTAATGTTACGAAGTCACATTGTGAAGAACTTACCACCGTAAGAAAATATAAAAAGAAAATAGAATGTTTTATAGATAATATGTTGAGTTTCATCTTCTGAGTAGAAAAGGGATAAATATTTAAAACAAAGAGTAGTTAATTCAAAGTAACAGCTAGTGTGTTATTGAATTGTTTTACACAGTTTAGAATATTAAAAATTTTATATGGTTACAGTCATATGGTTTTCCATACTTCTATAAAATTAATGCCCTTAGACTTAATAATAGGACAACTTAAAAATAGTACATTTTAAAATATTATTTTACAATTCAAATAGGAATTTTAAAACCATTTCACCTTTAGAACAACAATTATTGGTGACATTTTTGTAATGTTTTATTTTCACTTCACCTTTTCCATCTTAATTATATTATTTTAATTGATCTGGCAAACATTGTTTTCAAAATATATACCCCCGCCACAGCAAACCTGCCAACTAAGTAAATTCCATTTCTCTGAATTTATTTTCAATTAAATCTATTCAAATAACATTAGGTTTAACAAGTAGGTACCTAGGTTTGCTGCTACAAGGAAATTAATGAAGCGTGTTTTTTAGTAAAGTTAGTAATAATAGCTTAGTAATAAATAAATAAATTTGCCAAGTTTGATCAAAATATATCCATAACAAAGCTAACTACACCATTTTACAATATTCTCCTTAAGAATAACATGGGAATTTTAAATTTAAATTTTTTTAAATTGTCTCCCTTACCAATTTTTGTACAAAACTCTTGTATACTAAATTATTTCTTTTTTTAAGCTCTTTAAAAAGGTCTAGAGAGAAATCGTGAAACTTTGTTTTGATGGTTAAAAATTAGAAAAACCAATTTTTACCCCATAAAACCCCATGTAAAACCCTGTGCCCATGGTCCTTTCAAGCTGGTTTGCAAACTCGTTCAACTTTATCCTGCCTTACACCTTTAAACCAAATTTCATCAAAATCTGAAAAAATTACTTAAGTTGTTCACGGACACACACATAATATTATACAAATAATTTTGAACAAATGGTGTTTTTGGCCTCTGGGGTCATCAAAATGAAAAAGTAAATCGGTCCTGGGCCTAGGTCTTACCGTGCCACTTACGGTGATAGCTACTTCCCTATAGGGAAAGTCATTAAAACTAATCAAAGTCTTGCATAAGATTTTTAGCACAGGATAAGAGTGATTTATTGTGTTTGTTAGTTCATGTGATCATTGATTAGGAAAACAACTGAGAAAACGCCCATTTGAACTAGACTGATTGAATAAGTAAGTAAAAATCTAATGGAAAGAAGCATCATAGATGCATACCACATTAAATTATACCAACTACTGAATGGACATAGGCAATAGAGCAGTCAAATCTATGATACATTTTGACAGGACTTAGGTACCTGTAAAATGGAAGAACAAAAAGTATTTTAGTATAAATGCAAAATATTGTCATACACATTTTCAAACATTTACTAAATTTTAAAAACCTTAACCAATAATACATTAAATTAGGCCAGACCAACCTTGAAAATTCCCCAGTCAGAGCAGATTCACTTTTTTATTCCACAATAGGTTAGATATCTGGTATGAACGTTAATAATTATCCAACTCTATCATGCTTGTTAGTGATTTGACAATAATTGTCAAATTTTGTAATTTGACAATTTGTCAATTTGGTAATATTGGTAATTTGTTAAATTATTTAACAAATTACCAATATTTTTAATTACTGCCTAAAATACTAACATGAGTATAAGAAAGTGTCTCATTAAAATGTGTATCCTAAAATAATACTATGACCGGGTTGATGTTCGACAAATTCTAAAAAACCTATCATGGCAGAAAGATAAATCAATACATGCACTCTAATATACACAAGACAGTTACAATACAACTCCTTATATCCGACCACCAGGAGACTGAGCCCGTGGTAATGATTTGGCATGATAAACCAACCAATTATAAAAGTGATAATTTATACCTGATAATAATAATAGATCATCAATAAGTGTAGGCAAAAGTAATGTTTATGTATCTATTTGGGATTATTAAAAAAAACGTGTATGTAAAACTATATAAAACTTAAGCTATTCATAAGAAAAAGTGGTTTAAGTAACTAACATAAAAAATACAATGAATCCAGATAACATAAATCAAATGTTTTAACAATTTTCTTTCACATTATATTGGCTTTGTAGATTATATCGTTTAAAAATAGTCTGTATTTTTCTTCTGATCTTTCTTGTAAGTTGTTTGATTTATTTTTTAGGGAACAAAATAGGTAATGAACTTAATAACTGCACTACCGCTACATATACTCAACCAGCTGTTTAGAGGTTAGGCCTACTAGCACAATTGAGTAGTGTTCACAGGAAAATGTAAACAAGGAGATAAGCCATGAGGGCGTTTGAGTCGAGGAAAGTAGTGTGTGTAGTTTAGTTAAGCGTCAGTAAGGGGTGAGAAATATATTTTGATGTTGGCTTCCAAGAAGTGTCCGGATAAATGGAGAACCAGTCAAACCAAGGCCTTATATTTGGGGTTATAGTGTGATAAACTTACTGACTTAGTGTTGAATTATGATAGATTTCAATAGGACACTCCAATCAAAATCGATCACACTTTAATATCTCGTATTTGTATTTTATCATCTTGTATGTGCGTCAGTATGATTGTAAATATAACTTGCATCATGCTGAGAAAGCAATTATTGTGAGCTAACTTATCAAAGCAATACTAGTAGTAAGTACAAAAAAAAAAAGATGTTCTTTTATAAGGTAAAAGTCTGCAAATTAATCAATACATTAACATTTTAAATAAAAATCAGTACCAGCGGTATTTTTTAACCCAGGAGACCTTCCGAGCTCCTTTTGTAAACAACTCGTGATACTTAGGTGATAATGTAACAATACTGTTATTGGTCAAAATGTGATATGAAGTTGTAGTGAGGGCTATTGATATGAATGAAGTAGTTGGGACAGAAGTGAGCTAGGTCTATGTCGAGAACTGCCAGTCGATCATAACAGTACACTCTCTCTTGTTACGGTCTCAGTTCGGACAACTTTCACATGACTCATACATTACTTTGTTCATAGCAACGTTAACAAATAAGTTACAACCTGTTAGTCTTGCCCCATATGGAACATACAGATATTGTATTATTTTTTTGTTTAGTATACAACTAACAGTTGTTTGAAATCACATTTTTTTACATGTTTTCTTTCATGAAATGACTATAGGCCTACAATAGAGGGTCTACTTACCTAAACCTTAACCTAAACAATAAGAGTTAAAAAAATAATATGGAACACTGTACCTAACTGTATGACAACCCAACACAGTTTTTAACGTTTACAAGTTAATGCTTGTAATGAATAATGAATAAAGAATAACAAGTGAAATAGTAATACAACAAAAAATTAAAAAATATGCTACTGTACCCTGAAACTTAACCAAAATACACAAAATACAGCAGGTCAATTTTTTTAAATCGAAGGATAACAACTTGACACATTTTTTCTAAAGGATTTGTAAAATATATTTATCTTCTCCAAACAATAACATTTTTTAAAAGTACTTTCAAACATAATCTCCTAACACAATTTTTACAAAAATAGATCGTTTTGTACAAAAATGTGTAAATATCAAAAAATTATCAGGCCATTTACATTCTGAGAAGAGTTTTAAAATCTGCATTTACTATCAAAGAAAGATTTCATGGAGGTTTAATATTTTTAGAGCTAATAAAAAAATAAACGCTGTAATACTCTTTGATGACTGAGAGAGATTTAGTGAAATTGATTTGTAACTCACAGTAATTAAAAAAACACATAATGGGTGTAAAAAAGCAGCTAATATTTTATTCCTCTTACTTTAAGGAGGGTTTAAGCATAGACAAATAGACCAAATATAGACCGTGAGCTGTGCTGCGGTTAGCATAAGTTCTGGCGTCCACCGATAGGTTTGCCGTGTAGTTACAGCACACACCGCTGCAGCGTTTGCTGGTCGCATGGTGTGCGCCGTAACTACACGGCACTCCAAGCGGAGGGCGCCGGAACCTTCCTTTGACAGTCTATATTCATTCTATTTGTCTTTAGTTTAAGGTAGCGATGCATGTCGTTAAATTTCTTTTAAAAAATTATCAAAACAAAATCCTTTATGAACAATTTTTTAAACTCTGTACACTTATGATTGGTTTTAAAAAGTAAGCATTTGCTATGCAAAACACAAATCTTTGCTTCGAGATTATTGAAATTTTATATTGAAATAAAAGGGGTTGAATTCAGTTACATAGGCTAATAGCTGATTTTATTTAAAAATATTATTTCAAATCACTATTTTGTTACGAGGGTTGTTTTTTTTTCAACCTCCGATAGGCTATGAACAAAAGACAAGTTCATATAAAACATTAAATTTATTACCAAAAGTTTGGTCCATTTATGGTTACTTTTTGACATAATCACCAAAGAGATTGAGACATTTGCTATATCTGTGCAATAGCTTTTTAATACCCTCTTCAAGAAAAGTGGCCGCCAGTACATTCCAAAAAACAAAAAAAAAAAAAAAAAAAAAAAATGACAAAAAAATTTAAAAATCAAGAAAAATAAAAAAAGGACTTTAAAATGTCTATAAATTCAGTAAACAAGTCAATAATGGTGAATCTGTGCTTTATTTAACCATTCTGCCAACTTGTTGAACCAGCTCATTACTGTCGTTTCAGATGACTTGGTTCAACAGTTTGACAGGATGGTTAAATAAACCACAGATTCACCATTATTGCTTTGTTTACTGAATTTCTAGAAATTTTAAAGTATTTTTTTTATTTTTTCTTAATTTTTTTATTTTTTTGACATTTTTTGTTTTTTGAATTTTTTTGTTTTTTGAATGTACTGGCGGCCACTTTTCTTGAAGAGGGTATTAAAAAGCTGGTGCACAGATATAGCAAATGTCTCAATCTCTTTGGTGATTATGTCAAAAAGAAACCATAAATGGACCAAACTTTTGGTAATAAATTTAATGTTTTATATGAACTTGTCTTTTGTTCATAGCCTATCGGAGGTTGAAAAAAAAACAACCCTCGTATAATGCTTGTGCTTGTGAGACTTTAAAATTCTCTAACATAGCGATAAATTACGTTGATAGGTCGACTTTAGATAGTACAGTCGCACCTTGATAACAAGACTCTCATGGGTATTGTAAAATAAGACTTGTTATCAAGGTTGACTTCTTTTCGAGGTTTGTAATAACATGTGATTAGGGGTAAAATAATTTTAAGGGAATTTGAAAATTACACTTGTTATCAAGGGCAACTTGTTATCTAGGGTCTTCTTATCAAGGTTCCACTACTGATTTGTAATAGGCCATTAGCTGCTCTGTGATAAAACGCACACATGATATTAAAAAGAGAAGGAACAGATTTTGAGGGATTTCTTTCAACTACAAGAGTAGACACCTTAGTTCATTGTAGACACCAAAGTGTGCACCATAGAACACCATAGAGCCTCTGCAGTCAATACTTCTCTGTGACTAACTCATTTAAAATCCTACAAGCTCAGATTTATACATAAAATATTTTCCATTAAAAACATGTTTTCTCATTATGAGAATATGACATATGATGTTAATTTAAAATACTATATCAAATTCGACTACAAAAGAATGAAAACTGGTTTAGCTGTCACAACACAATTGACTCTAGGACAGATATTTGTCCAACTTGATCAATAAACTGATACCGCCAAAATAGCATTGTCCCCTTGAATGTAAATTAACAAATTATTATTCCATTATTTTTAACTTTCCAGATAATGCAATTCCAAATTCCAAATAATTATTATTCATTATTCAACGTTAAATAAACTCAACAAATACTTTTCTTTTCAAAAGCAAACAACTCGTAAATAATTTCACTCAAAGACACTTTGCTTACAAAATTAACACTTCACAATGATAAGTGGAACACATACATCGATGACTGCTTAGCAAAGCGGCATGTACAGTCCGCTACGACTCCTCACTCTCTGTGCAAAGCTCGGCTGTCGTATCTACAGTTTCGTCCAGTTCTGGGAAGAGTCGTGTGAGCACAAAGAACGCAACGTCCTCGCTGCCCCAGTAAGCGGTGTGAGAGCTCAACATGTTGATGTATGTGCGTGCACTCACGCCCAGCGAGCCAGACACCTTTATAACATAGTCTAGCCGATGCTCCAGACCTACAAACAGATATACATCCATAGAACATGGACAATTTGTAAGTAAGTAAAAAACCTTTCTTTTGTTTGAAGTTCACTTTTTCACATGGTAAGATTATATTATTTGAGAAACTATTGCAGTTATTTTCCATCACAATTTGTAAAAGGCAAGTTTTCACACTTTCTAGCTTTGGGAGTTTTGAGCTAATCTTTTCATGTTTTAGGTAATTTCCCGTCTGAGGACGAGATCAGATTCTAGATCCTGAAACGTCGCGAATACAATAGCTTACTAGCTTATTTTGCTAATTGTGGAAGAAAATGTCTGCAATGTTGCAAGTACAGTACTTTATGTAAATAGCATATATTGTGTAGATTAGGAAGAAGTTGTAAAAAAATCTAACCCCACAAAATAGTGCAACTCAAACATGGTCAATGGATAAAAGTGGATAAAAATCAATAAACAGAAATTAGTAAATTCTAAAAAGACTAAAATATAAGCTATTCAGTGCACAGCAAATTTGGAATTTTACAGTTTAGAATGTATTTTACTAAGGGAGTTTTACTTACACTGTCTTAAAAATGGTTAGGGACAAACCATATTATCAGTCAGGATGAGGAAGCAACTAGGAAAATTAAAACCCAAATATGAATGAAAGATGAGTGTTATGGAAATGCGATGTTTTTGGAAGTTTTTTAGTGACAAAGGAACAGACATAATTAAGTCCAACAATAATGATCAGGCTAGTTCACCATCAAAACTACTGATATTTCTAAGGTAAAGTAAGTGACCCACTTATTATTGGGCAAGGAATATGATACAGTCAGCTACCCAGCTAAATATTGACTGAGTCACTTTTTTATGTCATGAGTATGTATGATTATTAAGATAAGCATGGATTGTAAGACAGGGATTCAGCAGAAGATAAAATCATGTTTTAAAATAATGAAAATTTTTTGTTGAATTTGCTAATTTTAAAAGGATTTTTCTTTACATTACCAGTGATTTTACTAAATTCAAGTTAACCATATAACTTATCTTTTTTGAAACTTTCTCATAATTTTCCAGGAGCTGATTAGGAACTAATACAAGCAACTAGCAACAGATGGCAAAAGCTGAACACCAACAAATAGATTTAAGGAATGAATTTAAATTCTCCGTTACATTACAAAAAGAATCATCGATTGACTTTTGTTCAGGTACTGTGGAATGTTTCAACTGCTACAATGCAATGATGACTCCCAAGCTTCAGACCACAAATCACACTTCTCACAACCACAATCTATCTGTACTTACAACCAGCAGTCTGGGGGAAAGAGTTCAATTTCATAAGAAGCCTTAAACAAAATGCTTCAGCGGGAGTTACTTTTGAATCAGCTGAAAAATTAAAATGTATAAATATATGTTTGAAGTGCTGTGGCTGACTAAAAATCAAAACCAAAGTTACTTGAAAACTAGAGGTGACAAATAAAATAGATAAATAAAAAGGGTTATGCCATATTTATCTGATGTAACATTGGTTTATTGGAGGACAAAATAGCTAAGTGATGCAAAATTAAGAATTTACACCCCCGTAAGCTTAACACGTTGACTGCACGCGCCGACTATACAGGCGCTCCCCAGTGGCGGGCGAAGCCCCGGCGCGCAACCGAATCAGCGAACGCAATTGGCATTCAAATATTTCAGTCTGACGAATCACAAAAGAGCAGTGGTGACTGTGCTGCGTTACCCCGAGAGTGGATGTAGTTCACTGAAACACCCAAAGGTAGCAGCACTGCACGGATCCGTATCCAGTGTCTTTGTAATGTGAGTTGAAGAGAAAAAATCCCCGAAACCGGGACAAAAGCATTGCCAGACAGGATTTTACGGGAAATTTTAGTACCAACCTACACCAAAGTAAAGCTCTCATTCTAAGCTGGCAGGCTGGCAACGATTATAACGTCTCCGTCTGAGGCTAAGCTCACACTGACTCAATATATTTCTGTTGGTCTGGTGCCGACTTTTGTCGGCGCGCGCCACCTGGGAGCGCTGGCGACGCCGCCTAAAGTCGGCGCGCGCAGTCAACGTGTTAATTCTTTGTTTCCAGTTAATTTTCAATGATGATGGACAGTTCGACAGGTAACGGATGAGGTTCAAAGATTGAGAGAGAAGAAATAAAATTTGTATAATTCTAACTTCAGCTGATTGTTCAGGCCAATTTATTGTTGAGTGGTGCAATTAATGTTGGGTCTGACTTAGGGGAGGTACGAATGAGGCATTAGTTCAAAATTCGTCCGTGAACAGCGCTGTAGTAGAGAGTACTTTGGCAAAGAAGGTTTACTAATCGCAAAAATAGTTCTGTTCATAAAATAAAATTATAAATGCCTCAAATTCAATTTTATTATTTTTTAATTATAAAATTAAACTATCATAACCTAACCGAACTAACCAAACTTGCTGATAATGAAATAATATAACAAAAGTTTATTAATAGAAAAAATAATTCTGTTTATTAAATAAAACTAGAAATTGCTCTACTAAAATTTTATAATGACTTAATAATAAAATTAAACTGTCATAACCGAACCAAACCAACCAAACTTGCTGATAATAAAAAAATCTTGGACAAAAAGTTAATGCCACGAGCGGGATTTGAACCCGGGACCTTCAGCATATCAGCCCGGCACGCTAACCATTAGACCACCGAGGCCGATGACTACTGATCGTTTTGTTACGGTAATGGCGTTCCCTCAGCTAATAAGAAGCCCACAGCTGTCATCGTAGCCTCTTCTATACCTCCCCTGAGTAAATACCATTAATGTTTGGTACAATGTTTTGTTGCGTCACTGTCAGTGGCAATGAGAGGTTATATAAAGGAAATCATAACCTCTCTTAAAAGTTATAAGTAGTGATTTTTGGTAATTAAAACAGTGTCATAGGTAAAAATTAGTGTACGCAACTTGCGTAAATAGTGTTAACGACACTCATAGAAATGTTTAAGGCACTCGCCAAGGTTTATACCTTAAATTTTCTACTCTTGTCGTTAACACTATCTTTACGCAATCATTGCGTAAGCTACTATTATCATAAGATAAACATCATAGGTATTTGAATGTTTAAAGAGTTGATATAAAATTAATTAAAATATCAAATGTGTCAAGAATTCCCATTATAGAGTAGCACAAGAAATGTTTCTTGGTTATGGTCTAAAATGTTTCCTAACAGTTTGAACAAAAATATTTTTCACATTTGAAGACATTCAGTTAAGTTACCTCGTGTAGGAGAGTCCATCGGCTGAGGTGATGCGGCCCCATCAGCACTTCTGTTGGCTCCTCCCCTCACCAGGTTCCAGATACTCCAGCCGCGATCTTGTATATAGAACAACAAAACTCAGTGAATAACTGTTATGTTCAGAGTTTATAATATTGTAAAGACTTTTAGTGAATTTTTATATCAAACAAGATCAACCAAATTTAGTCCACTGAATTGTGAGAATCAATATTTTAAATGTCTAAAATTGGGACAGTTAATTGGCATATTGGCAACTTGAATGATTACCAGTTCAGAGATAATAAAAAGACCATTAAGTCACATATTCTCATGTCGAGGTCCTTAAGAGAATAAAAATTTTGCATGAGAAAGTGTTGTATGTCAACTGAGTAAAATACAATTGCATCTTTTGATTTACAGAAACACAAACTTTGGATTTTTGCCTGGATAAATTATGAAAAGACCAGTTAACCTAGCCGAAGTTTTGCAGTCAATCAAATGTCAGTCAAATGTTTGGCTTGAATCAATTCTCTGTGATATTGGCTGATATCATAAAACCATGAATAATAGTAAAACCATTCCGCTGAAAATGTCTGTCCACCTATATGCCCTTTATTCATTGTGCATTAATCCAATCGCTGTAAAACTTAAAATAAATGTTCTACAAATACCTGGGGAGGTTAAAATGTTTGAAAATTAAATAAAAAGGTTAAAATACCTGATTGTTACTTTGTGGTACAAGGTTTGTCCTGCTGGATTATGCACAAGGCGACAATAAGGTGTTTTAAACTTTTTATTTAATTGTCAATCAATTGGTCCGGTTATTAACAGAAAATTGTTGCTTTAACTAAGATCTACATGTATCAGATGATGGTATAGTAGTGCTGAAACAGCCTTAACATCAGTTACAACTTTTGAACTGATTGACCAAGGTAAAGTGGATATTTTAGCTAAATTTGCCATATTCCTTTTCAATTTCAATCCCTTAATGCCATGTCTCGCAGACTTAGTAGAGAATATCAGTGAATAAGAATTTATGTAATAAAGACAGTCTTAACGGCCAATAGCATTACTACTAAGAATTCAAGAAAATATGTGTTGGGCATATCGGTTTTCAGCATTAGGCTAACCTCTGATAGGTGTCTCTGCTGGGGAGCTGTCCTCCTTGGGTGTGGTGTTGGTTGTTGCTGGCATGCTACCATTGCCTTCCCTCTCCTTGGTCATGCCTATCTCGTGAGGGTCGATAAGCTCCAGCGGCATATCGCTATATGGTATCCGGTGTGGAGAGTTACACGGCCAGATCCGCAGCGGTGCAATTCTAGAGTAGTCTTTGACCACCAGCGGCTCTAGCCTGTCATATACACATCCAACATGTTCAAGTAGAATAAAAGTGTGAAATATTTAGCTCATATTATGTTCTTATGATTGTCTTTCCACCATTGACAATTCTAGTAGTCTAGTATAGTGTTGGTGTAGTGTATTGGTTAATAAGTAAGAAAACGTTGTAATTAGAATTAGAAGAATTATTTATTTGTCATTGGACATTACAAAAAATGCATTGACAATTGTCATGTATATAGGATGGCTACAGTCAGGCTAGACATTACAAATGACATGTCTAATATGTTAATTTTTTAGGTGTCAGCTCTGTGGATTACCAACAGTATGGAATGTGATTTAACAATAAATACATCTTATAAATAAATATGATAATTTAACAAAGAATAAATTATATGAACCAACAACAAAATACTGATAACAGATATTAAGATAAAAATTTATAAAAATTAACAAATGCAGCAAATGTTGATGGACAATTAAAAAGGGCAACCACCTGTAGGCCACAGCATCAGAGATATGGAACACATTGTAGAGTCTGTTACACAGTGTGGGAGGGAACAGGTGGTAGCCGTGTTGACCTTGTGGATACCTCAGTGCTAGGAATACAGCCAGAGGTGATCCTAGCATAAATAGGTTGTCCACCTGAACATCAATAATCAGTTACCATAATGGAACAGGTTGTCCACCTTAATACTAAAATAACTAATAACATATAAGTAAACTTTTCTCTTTATTTAACCACAAAGAACCAGTTTTAGCTACAAATATTAAAAGCACGTCTAACATGGATAAAATTAAGATCTAGCACTATTTGCTTCTGTGATCAGATGTGGTGTTGTGGATGAACCATCACAACATCATAGATATGATTCATGATCAGAAATCAAGGAAAGGCCAATTGACTGATTAAGATTATTATGTACAAGGATAGGGATCCGCTAGCTTACCTGGTAGACAGAGTCCAGACCAGATTAGCTTTGATAACACATACAAAATACATAGCACAAAACAGTGAAACTTTATATTTCGCCCCTGTTAGGTGTTCGTCCCTAAAAGGGGCGAAATATAAAGTTTTACTATTTTGTGTGGGTTACCAAAGCTAATCTGGACTCTATCTACCAGGTAAGCTAGCTGATCCCTATCCTTGTACATAATAATCATGATCACATAGGTCAGTTTGACAGTGGTGCATAGAGCTACAATCCTTCCAATCAACCCATCAAACATCAGGAGGCAGAACTATAAACAGGTTGCTGCAGTTCACTAAGCAATTCAAGATTGGCAGGCTCTGAGCAAGGCCACACTAAATAACAGGCCGTAATGCTCCTCTGGCATCACATCCGGCAAAGACGTCATTTTTGCCGTTTGTGATCAGCTGCTTGTTTTAATATTTTCTTGGAAAACAAAAATATAACTAAAAAAATACATTTCGTCATTGCCGTAGCCTATGATGACGTCATGCCAGAGGATCATTACGGCCTGTTTATTTAGTGACTAGTGTTGCCTTACTCTGAGGCACCAAATAGCAAGTGCATAAAGCCCATGCATGTGGTTAGATGTGCTTTGATTCAACCAATCAAGACTGCATCATTGCTTTAATATTGTGATAACCTTACTTGATAATGGTAGCATTGTCATTATCTCTACTGATCGTGGTGATATAATGATATATTGACAGCAACAGTAGTGACATCGTGAGTTTCTGCAATTGAGCCAACTACTCTGGTGTCTCCAAAGAATCAAAATAACATCGCAAGATTCCCATCCAACATTTTAAAAATATTAAAATCCTGAAGGAAGTAAAAGTGTTATGAATTATTGACTCATGATTGAATACAGCTAGTTATGCCCCTTGAACATTTCCTTTAGGTAAAATTAAAATTTGATAGAAAGTCTAAGTGGTAATTTGGGGGTTCCCTTATGCATCAAAGATGCTCATCATTAAACCATCCAAACAAAATATGAAGCCAAATTAATTATCTTCTCTCATTTTGACATTAGTTTACAGTTCCTGTAAAATTTGTGACAGGAATATACAGTTACCATATATGAAAAATGCAGACTTACGTGAAATTTTAATCTCGATTTTCCAGGAACTATTCCTTCAGGTACTTTGTCATATACTATGTTTGGTGGACTCTGAAACAGTGCATACCAATTAACAAAAAAAATAGGACTAAGTGAATATTTGTTACTAGGTACTTCAACTACTAAAAGTCAACACACCATTGAGCGTAGTTTAAGGTGACGAGAATTGACATAACTAGCCAGTATCAAACTGTTAAAAAAATTTCTCAGAATTGAACTAGCAACCTTCAAAAAACTAGGCAAGCACTATAAACGCCCAAATTCCCAGCAACTATGTTTTATACATGAACTTAACATTGAGCAACAAGCATATTTTAGATTTGTTAGGTTCAATATTAATACAACAGTCCTTACAACAGTGCATCTGCAGACAATAATTGAACTTACCATAGGCAACCAACCGGTGATGATGTCATAAACAATGACACAACCCAAGGAGTGAGCAACCACGGACACTTTGACATTGAGTGAAGGATTCCTCTCCACAAACATGGTGTAAAGACGGTTGAGCTCTGTGATCAAACCTACATCACGGTCGATATTATTTACAATCAGTTGAAAATAGCAGCCTGATTTTTAATGATATGGTGTACAGCTTATGCATATTTTAGAAAAAGCATGGGTTAGAGTGGAGCATGTGTTTCAGATTCCCATCCTTTTGTTAGTTCAACAGCTTTCACACATTATTTCACAACAAATTTGAGTTTTAGACATAAAAACATTGAAAACTCACATCAGTTTTGAAAGTGAACAAACTTGAACAGCCACACAGAGGCAAAACTTGGTACATAAAATATTTCAAAATTGACAAATCAGTCTACTAAACTTCCATTCAGCTTAATGGCTTAGTTGTCCATATTGTACATAAATGCATGACCGTTTTCAACTCTCCTAACACTCCAGACATTATTTGTACAGTAGCTTCCCCTCCTCTTGAAGAACTCCTATCATTTCTGTAACTGTTTTACCCAATTTTTGTTTACAAGTGTCTCTTTCAAACACTGCTCTTTCTTTTAGTCTTACTTTGGACGTTCTTAGAATCTAAGAGGATAAACATATCGCCTTACATGGCATGGCGTGATGAATTTTTAGTATTGTCAATAGGTGCAGGATTATGGCCAAGACTGTGATCCATAGGTGTAACCTTAAGCCAATAAAACAAGTCGAATACAATAATGAATTCAGTCTGTTTATGTGATAGAAGTTTAAATAGTTTTAATTTTCTCCTCCTGATGTCTGACAGTAGATTTATGTTGTTTTTAAAAAACCTACATTTATTTATATTATATCATCCTAAAAGGTTGTTGTCACCCAGAATTAAAGTCCAAAAAAGCATAAGGAAACCTAAAGAAACTGATCTTACCTTTTTGTATCTCTGCACAATAGATAGGGCTTGTGTAGTACATGATGTCCATAGCTGAAGTGTTGAGGAGGTTGCGCAGCTGTGTGAGATGAAGTGGGGTGATAGCCTCCACTAGCCCTGCAATACACATCATATTGATATATATGGGAAATATCTCGTTCATCTTTGCATTTCTAGACAGTAGACTACATGATTACACTCAGCAACGATGCAATGCTGTGTATTTTAGGTTGAATGTGAAGTTTGAGTTAGAAAGGAGTGCAATGATCTGTGTAGCTTTGTTTATGACTAATACTCGCTGTTTCTATGGACAAAGCCATTTACCAAGAGCCAATAATCGAGGACATCTGGATCCAATTTCTAACTATCATTAAGCTTTTCTTATAGCCGAACCTCTTATTTTGTTTACTCAGCACCACACCTCACCACTTGGCTAGTCATCCCATTTCTTACCAGAAATAGACAAGTAGAAATCAAAATGCAAGGGAAGCTGTCATTGCACATCAAATTAAATTTTCCAAAACTGTGATAGCTTTTCATTGTTGGACCCAATGATGTGATTTCTAGGCTGAAAACACATGGCAAATAACTGTCTAGAACTACAAACTAAATAACACACATTGAGTTGTACCTACCTCCATCTAATGTGAGATTGGTTCGCCATTCCACTGGGAAGAACTCTGCTCGTTGGTTAGAGTTTGGGTACAGCTTCTCATGCAAAGAGGTTACATTCTGTCGTATCCTGTAACATAAACAGACAATCTAAGTGTAGTTAATATAAAACTGTGACGGTCCCAAAAATTCCCAGACCCATTACATATCAGTTGGGGAGGTTTTTGTTACACCCTCAGGAAACCCTGTCTTTACCGTCACGGAAGCTTTGCTTTATTTCAAATATAAAAAGAGGGTATGTAATATTGGACTGTTAACCTCCCAGCTTTTTGCGTCAACCAGTTGCCTCACCATGGAATATTCCGTCAGCATGGCTCAGCGCTGGGTCAGGCCAACGTTCTCGGAAAGTGTAACACGCATGGCTGGAATTTGCTGATACAGCTCAGCAAGTCGCTCGATGAAATCAGTTATTGCGCAGCTATAGTTTGCCTAATGCCCTCATGAATCGTTAGGCAGCAGCACCGCCCAGGGCTTGCACTGACGTCACGCGGCATAGCCGCAACGTGATTGGCTGGTTCCCCTCCACGCCCAACTCTGGGCTATGGGCAGAGCGCACTCAGTTGAGTTAGTCAAAATTCTAAATTCAATTCAATCGGTCATGTAAGTTGCGTCGCCTTTCCCCCATAGCCTCCTCGGGAGGCTATGTTCCCCAATAACTTATTTGTGTTGTACTTGTAAACTGAACATAAATAGATTCCATACAGCAAGTCGGAAGCTAAATACATTATTATTGTTTTGCTTTAAGTCGAGTTCAATAAATTATTTATTCATAGCGCATTTTTGTTGTTTCATTCGGCCACCTGTCACAGAACCATCGACTAATCCAAACAGCACCAAATTTTATTGGAATCGTAATGTTTGTCAAACTTTCAAGCATCTCATACGAGTAATACAACTTCATTTCAGAAAAAATCATGTTAGTATTTATTAGATAAAAATACAGCAAATAAAATCTAACACATTGGAATACAGTGCAACCTCTCTTAACTAGGGATGGACGGGTCCCGAAATTTCGGGAATTTTTCGGGAAAAAAATATTCCCGATTATCGGTACGGGATTACATTTGATTCGGGAATTTTTCGGGACGGGATTTGGTCCGATCGTCGGCGATTTTGCCGCTTCGCGAGTGCCGATGACGCCGCTATTGCGAGCGATAGGTCCGCGAACGCAGGAGACGAAGTCATTTCGACGATCCCCGTGACCGTGATTATTGGACCGACGATCATGCCGTGACCGCGAGTCATACCGACGATCGCGCTGTGACCGCGGAGTCATAACGACGATCCCGCCGTGACCGCGGAGTCATGCCGACGATCGTGCCGTGACCGCGTAGTCATGCCGACGATCGGGCCGTGATCGCAAGTCATACGGACAATCATGCCGTGACAATGAGTCATACCGACAATCACCCCGTGACCGCGGAGTCATACCGACGATCACGACGTGACCGCGGAGTCATGCCGACGATCGTGCCGTGATCGCGAGTCATACCAACGATCATGCCGTGACCGCGGTCATACCGACGATCACCCCGTGACCGCGGAGTCATACCGACGATCGCGCCGTGACCGCGGAGTCATGCCGACGATCGTGCCGTGATCGCGAGTCATACCGACGATCATGCCGTGACCACGAGTCATACCGACGATCACCCCGTGACCGCGGAGTCATACCGACGATCGCGCCGTGACCGCGGAGTCATGCCGACGATCGTGCCGTGATCGCGAGTCATACCGACGATCATGCCGTGACCGCGAGTCATACCGACGATCACCCCGTGACCGCGGAGTCATACCGACGATGACGCCGTGACCGCGGAGTCATACCGACGATGACGCCATGACCGCAGAGTCATACCAACGATCGCGCCGTGACCGCGAGCCATACCGATGATCACCCCGTGACCGCGAGTCATACCGATGATCATGCCGTGACCGCGAGTCATACCGACGATCACCCCGTGACCGCGGAGTCATACCGACGATCGCGCCGTGACCGCGGAGTCATGCCGACGATCGTGCCGAGATCGCGAGTCATACCAACGATCGTGCCGAGATCGCGAGTCATACCTACGATCATGCCGTGATCGCGAGTCATACCGACGATCATGCCGTGACTGCGAGTCATACCGACGATGACGCCGTGTCCGCGGAGTCATACCGACGATCGCGCCGTGACCGTGAGTTATACCGACGATCACGCCGTGACCGCGAGTCATACAGACGATCATGCCGTGACCGCGAGTCATACCGACGATCGCGCCGTGACCGTGAGTCATACCGACGATCATGCCGTGACCGCGAGTCATACCGACGATCACCCCGTGACCGCGGTCATTTTGATAATCGCACCGTGACCGCCAGTCATTTCGACCGCAAGTCACAAGTTTCTATAGGTACTTGTAAATTGTTACCCATTTTTTGGTTTTTTTTTTATAGATCAGTGCCAAAAACGGTAAAAATTGATTTCGTATGTTTTTTTTGGTAACTGCAATACTCAAGACTTTCTTTTTATGCACAGAAAAAAATCCCGTCCCGTCCCGTCCCGAAAATCGGGAAGGAAATAAAAATCCCGTCCCGTCCCGTCCCGAACTAAAAATTCAATCCCGTCCATCCCTACTCTTAACCAAAATAAAAAGGGGAGTTGAGTAATTTTGGTCTAATTACTCAACGCACTGTTCAGTAACAGGTCGTCATAGGGTGGTGGGAGTAGGCTTGTTTGGAAAGCCTATACAATGCCATTTTTTGTAGTCATAGAGCAGTGGTCGTATGAGCTACGTGCGGTTGTTATCTAGTCGTTTTTAAAAAGTAATGACTTAGTCATTGCAACTCAGCTGCAGTTCCGTGCCACGGAACTGCCGCCTTGATTGAAAGAATGTATGAAACTGCCGCTGAGTAGCAATGAACGAATTCACTATTTTATAAAAACGACTCCATAACAACCGCACTAGCTCAGGCGACCACTGCTCTATGACTACAAAAAATGGCATCGTGAGGGCTCTCCAACGAGCCTACTCCCACCACTCTCGGACGACCTGTCGCTGAAAATAGATCGGTTTTTTTGCTGCACCCTGTATATGCTTTTTCAACAAGTGACGAGAATAAGGCAATAATGTAACTAAAGTACATGTTAAGGTTACAAAATACTTAATCTATGTCCGTTTGATCAATCCTTACATTGGTTAAAAGTGTTTAGGGAGAGAGAGGTTCTACTGTATTGCAAAAAACTTTGTAGTTTACAATTGTACTGTTGAAAATCCTCGATGAGGATTTTATTAAAATTTAATAAAATTAAATTAAGGAATTATTAAATTCAAAAAAAAGGATTTATTAAAATCAAATACTCAAACAGTTACTTACAACGACGTGTTGTGCAATATTCGTCCGCCAATGTCCATCTTCTGGCCTATACCATGCACCACAAACACCAGGTGTGAGATGTCCTTGGGTTTATCCTTGTCTGTGGCCGCATCTTTGTAACCTCTCAGCAGTCGATACCCAGACTCTACAAAACACCATTATTATAATATCATTAGTTGTAAAAATTAATTCATGATTTAATTTCTATTTATTTGAGAATTGAGACAGGGAAACACACTTGAGGAGGGGGTATGGAAAGTAATCAGAGTGTAAAAAGTTGGCAAAGTGTAGTATAGTAGACTCTCTCTTATCCGGACACCTAAAAAAAAATCCGACCTTATATCCAGACATCAGCTTAACCAAACTACACTCGGGAGAAATGACATTTCTTTAACCGACAGAAATTGGGCAGTACTTGAGTTATATGAACAACTGTTATCGCTATTTAAAAAAAAAAAATGAATTTTTATAACATACTGGTGACTATGTAAGCTACAAACCAAATGCTGACCAGGACAGACCCGGAGGAGACAAAGATGCTAAAGTAAATGTCAATGTTGGTGAAACCGACACTGAAGGTCTTCATGGAAACAATGTTCCTGCCATCTTGGAGGCAAAAACATTGCCATCATCAATCAAATTAGGACCAGGATTGAAATTGACCAAACAGCGGAACAAACGGAACTTGGAGCAGAATAGAAACGTTACCAGCAAATCATTGTAATAACAGACCAAGTAACTCAGCTACGATTGTGGTTGATACCTTTGTTAGCTATATCGGGACTTTCCTTCATCAAAAAAGAACTCTGTCCCGTTAAACGATACCACTACCCAGCGTAATCCAACATCATTATTGGAACAAACAAAGCGAAGGATAAACTCAAATCAGCTTCGATTAGATCTTGTTTCTTAGTTTCTCATGTATCACAAAGTACAACGTGTGAAGAGGTCCTATCCTTCCTCAAGTCTAAAGGTGTGCAGGACGTCGAGTGTGCTGATATCAAAACTAGATTTGCCAACTACCGATAATTTAAAGTAGGGAAGTGACCCAGACAAATTCATTTTAGATCCGAACTTCTTGCCTAAGGGTGTCTTAGTTAGACACTTCCACCCATATGGCCGCAACAGAAACTACAATCAGAAGCCTTTTTTAGGCAGAACTATCTACAGGACTCTAACAACCTAGACCTGACCCCTTCTTTAATCAGTGATCGCAGGCCTAAGCTACAGACACATTTTAACAAATGTGAGAACCTGTAAGTGTGAAAGTGGCAGTGAGAAGCAAACAGTGTGCCTTTCTTTGTGTTGCTAAGCACTGCCTACAACATGGTGAGTCAGGCTTTTTTAACTCTGTGTGTGAGGTCTCGAACTTGTAAATATCTTTTCTCGAATGAAACACAAAAATGGCGGGCTTGCCATATTTGCTGCCTAATCATTCACATACTAAAGATAAACTTAGATAATTTCTGAATTGAACTTTTTTTGAAGTGACGGCAGAGGAAAATGTTGACATTTAAAAGCACGCTTGTGACTGTGTATCAATCCCCTGATGGTGACTTTGATGCTTTCTTTAAGCCAAATGGACCCATGCCTAAGCCATATTACTAGATCTTAGTCAACCAAACTGATAGTATGCGGTGACTTCAATGTTCTTTTTGAGAGACCTTCAGTTGATGAAGCCTTGTTTGTGAACCTGTTCCGCAGCTTTGGACTCTACATCACCTCCAGACTCCCAACAAGAGGAGAAGCCTGGACACTGCGGTATCCAATATTGACTCTTGGATTTGATGTCAGAGGTCATCCCATCGCATGTCAGTGATCACAACAGAGGACTAGTCCATACGCTTGGAGTATCCAAGGTAAGCAACAAACCTCACTGGTTGGATTCATATAAAGTAGAAATACCACCACCGCAGCAAACCTGCAGACTTAGCGGATTTCCATTTGCCTAATTGAATTTTTACTAAAATATCATTTTTATTCCCTATTTAAATAACATTAGTTAAATGACTTAGGTTTACTGCTAAAGAGAAGGTACGGTAATAAAGTATTTTTATAGTTCAATGTTAATAGTATAGTAGTTAATAAATTCCAAATTTGATAAAAAAGTGTTTATAAAAGTGTGATAAACAAGCAAACTGCAGCAGTTTACTTATTCTCCATAAGAATAACATGACAATTTTAAATTAACAGATTTTTTAGAATTTTCTCTTTAAACGGTCAAGCGCATGACAACACTTCAATATACCGTAATAAATTATTAGTTTTTTTTTAAGCTATATAATAATAATTTTGAAATATTCAATAATTATTAATTATCAACACAAAGATATGTTATTGTTTAGGTTTATTTCAAAACCTATAAATTTATTGAACAACTATTGTGTAAAGAAGGGAAAATTTTATTTATTTAACCACAAAAACCAAATGTTTACTGATGAAAGGACAGACATATTGATTGACATTTGTTTGAATGGTTGGTTCATTTAGGTTAATTGAATTATCTGTTTGCTGTTCCTCCATCAATTGATAATCAAAGAGATAACTCAGCCTTCAATATTTATGTCCACCCCATTTTAATTAAATTTCAATCAACATTTTAATTGATTTCAAAGATCAACTAGTAGCAATATAATTATTTTGATTTGGTGACATTGTTTTCCCGCAATCTTTCAGTACTAAATAAACATTCAATCGTTAACAACTTTATTCAAATATCAAGGAGTCACTGTCAAATGACATTATTGTACTTGATAGTTTGAAAAAGATTTGCAACATTTAAATTACTGAAATAACAAGAAACAAATTATAAACCAAACACGACTTCTACAGTACACACAGAACTAACAATAAAATTGTCTTCAGCTGTTCCATAAGAATGAGAAATCTACTAAGGGAGTTTCCTTTTTTATTATCTACAGTATTACTCGTATAATACGTGAAGTCGATTTTTGTGAACACTTCTCCTCCTTTATTTGTGGAACAATTTCAACGTTTGAGTTGTCAACAAAATTGTTCTTAATTTGTAGTTTTGCAATAAGGTTTTAGAATTTAAAAATTCTTACCCTTAAGGGCGTGAGGTACTATCAAAGGTAGATTTTTTCTCATAAGAATTACATAGAACAAATTTTAAAACAAAAAACATCTATTTATTAAAACAAACTCAGCAGGTTATTTGGAGTAAATATTGATGTTTATAATATTCAGGAGGTTATAGACCAATGTAACCAGTTAATCAGTTTTGTTGGATGAACAGAAAATGTCTCGAGTTCAAAGAAGAAGAATTGAAAACAGGAGGACACAATAAATAAGAGATCTTATGCATATGAGAAGAGTAAAAGAAGAGAGGCCTGGTCTAAAAGTAAGGAATCCAGATACACACTCACTTTTTTTATAAATCTTACCAACTTTTATAATAAACTCACCAATTTTTTATATAATCTTTAAACTTATCTTTATCTTTACACGTTCCCATAGCACATAGTACATTTTTATTTAATCTTAAACTTTTTCTTCAATTTCAAATTAGCTCAAAAAATATATATAATTTTTAACAACTCGAGTCTACGCACAGACCACTGAGGTCCATGTAGACTCATTTCCATTATCTATTACATTAGTTATTATTCAAGCCGGAGCAAACATTCAACTAGTATTTAAGTTTTTACTATTATAACTTTATAAATTTAATTTTACTAGAATTAATTTACGTAATCAATTTACTCTATAATGCTTCAAGACTATATATATTTGTATTTTATTTTTTTGAAAAATTGTAAATTTTTTTATAGGATTCCTATATTGTGGAAATAAAACTGATTTGATTTGATTTGATTTGATTTGACTTGGTGAGATGAATGAATAATACTTAAGTTATTAACAGCTTGAGTATTTTCAATAGTTACAAAACCTTTTGGTTGAGTCTAAAAAACTCATAGAAAATTATGACTGTTATTAGTAAAAACACAAATGTTTTTTTCTGTACACTAGCTCTTAATATTGTTGAATCTTTTCAAAAATAATTAAAACACAAAAACTCACTTTTTTGGAAGTATCCGCCGAGCCGAGACGTTAGGTTGCGCACGATCTTGGAAGGCGTGGCTTGACTGTACAAGTAGACCTCGTTGGGAGCGTACCAGTCTATGTGGTTATCCGACAGTACTGCTGTGTGAATCACTAGACAAACAATATATAATTCAACTACAATTCTTGGATTGACAATAGGCTGTATACTCTAATCAATGTCTTTTTAATTGTGAGTTTAAATACTTAACCATTACAAATAAATAGATCAGATTGTATTCATGCAATGGTTTACTCCTCCACCATTTCTTAATCGATTTTGACCATTCACGACTCATTCGAAAGAGAGTGTCACGTAGATTTGCAAACTGTCCCTTTTAAACATTTTTAAAAAGCCCCTTGGGCTCTGCCCCAGTGGCTATTAAGTTGCCATGTTATCCTCATGAAGAACATATTTGTTTACATTATGATCAGCTGGATAATATGCTAATTGCTGTTAATATTTAAGTTGCAATTCAAGGAAACGCAAGTATAAACATTTACTGATTTGGTTGAAATTAAATATTTACTTTTTGAATTTTGGTTTGCGTACATATTACAGTGGGAAAATGTGAGAAAGCCAGGACAATTAGATATAGTTAAGAAAAATGAATTGACACTGTACTGTATTTCTTGAGCAATCCTTGAAAGAACCGATTTGCAAACTATGGAAACATAAAATACCCCGCCGTAGAAAACCTGCCGACTAAGTGAATTACCATTTGTCTGAATTAATTTTTAGCTAAATCTATTAAAAAAATATTAGGTTTAATGAGTACCTAGGTTTGCTGCTACAAAGAAACTAATAATGTGAGTTTTTTTAAAATATAAATAGCTTGGTATAAAAAAAAACTTGCTAAGTTTGATCCAAATATATCAATAAACAAGTAAAACTACAACATTTTACAATATTCTCTATAAAAATAACATGGGAATTTTAAATTTACAATTTTTTTGAATTTTCTCTGTTTTTAATAACCTTACAAAAACACTTTGATACTAAATTATTTGTTTTTTTAAGCTCTTTAAAAAATTCTAGAGAGAAATTGGGAAATTTTGTGTTTTAAGGGTCAAACTCATTCAAGTTTATCCCACAATATATCTTTAAACCAAATTTCATCAAAATCGGACAAAAATTACTCAAGTTCATGGTTGTATATATATACATATATAACAATTTGAACGAATGGTGTTTTTGGCCTGTGGGGACATCAAAATGAAAAAGTCAATCGGTCCTGAAAGTTGTAAACATTGGTGACAATGGTGGTAGCCTACCATGCAGGCTACATTATAAATAATGAAGATTGATTATTTGTGTAACTTGCGTTTACACATTATATTTTTCCTACAGTTACTATAAAGCATATAAATAAGTAGTCTTCCAAACACCTAACAACACATTTTAGGTTAGGTTAAATCCAAGTATTGAACAAATTAAAATGTCAACACGAAACAACAGGCTAAATCGTAGTATCAGTAGTCAAAGGTTGGGAAACGCTGCACCAGCTGATCGTAGTCGTAGTATTTTTAAGTGTTGCCAACCAACTTGTTTTCAAGCGTACACATATTACATGCCTAATAAAAGCACACTATTTTGTGTTGTTTGGTTGGAATATTGGATTGCGGCAAAGTAAAATCAGTGCAGCAAAAGTACAAAGTAAATGCAGCAATTAGCTACTTTGCGTGCTATAACCAGAACAAGGAAACCCACTTTGTCAGGTAAAAAAAAAAGAAAAAATATTTCTTTTTTTATTTATAATCATACTTAGACATTGTTACGATCTTATTCAATTACTACAACCCCTATTAAAAACCTAATAATTCCCATCTCCCATCCTAATTAATGGCCATTGTATTCCCATGCCCCATGTGAATATTGCATCATTCAATTTAAATCCTTATACCGGTCTGTGTTTCTGGAAAATAAAAAATATTTTGTTGTAGTTAGATAATAGGTATTATTATAGATAGTCTGCAAGAAACCAAATGTCTGTATCTGTTAAATAAGTTTGTTCATTTGATGTATATGTTCACAAACTTAAATCACGCTTGAGTTAAAACTAAAATACTAATTAATTATCATAAGCTGTTTGCAGTTTGTTTTAACAATATAAGTACCCATTGTGTTACAATTATGTAATTGGAATTGTGTACAAATTTGGTGTATACGTACACTACAAAACCATATTATATTAATCACTGTCAATAATTAAACCAATTTCTTTAAAGAAAAGAGTTGGGAAGATTTTTTTTCATTCATATGAAGTTGACTTTACCATGACCTACTATCCTCATTGAAAGTGACTGACTCTGAAAATATAGATCAATGGTTATTCAAACACCAAATGTTTCCGTTTGATAAGTCTTTGTGTCTACTTTCTTATCGTTGAGGCAGTGACTTAACAAACACATGAACCCAGATAAGGGTCCAATTTAATAGACTAGAGTGCACTGTGACATCAGCCTAATTTTAGATAATGATTCAACCTCATCATTGACTATCAATAAATAAACATTATTTCTGTCTATTAGAACTGGAATTAGACTCAGAGGTGGAAAATTAGGAAGCATATTTAGTATTATTTGATTGGTAGCCTACATTAACAAACCTAAAAAGTTCCAAATTATCGTTAGAAATACAAATTAGATCAAATTTGTGTTAGACTTTAAATTGCATTAACTATTCAACATCGGGTTAATAGAAGTTACGTCTCTGATTTTATTGAAAATAGTTGTGGATTAGTATCTTTTAAGACTCTATCAGTAGTTTGTACCACTGGGAAAAACTCAATACATTGTTTTAAATAGGTACAGTACATATTAGCTGTTTGCTGAGTCAATTGATATCCCTGTAGTGTAATGGCTGAATTGGAAACCAGAAAAATCTTCTTTTTTTATTATCTCATCAACCAATCAGTTACCCAAAACATGATTTAAGAACTAAATTTAATGAAGTTTTAGCGAATTTCCCTATAGGGAAGTAGCTATTACCGTAGGTCTCATGGTAAGACTTAGGTCCGGGACCGATTTACTTTTTCATTTTAATGTCCCCAGAGGCCAAAAACACCATTCGTTCAAATTTTTATATATGTATATATATATATATATATATATATATATATATAGATATATATATAGATTTATATTATATATATATGTGTCCGTGAACACGATAACTTGAGTAATTTTTATCCGATTTTGATGAAATTTGGTTTGAAGGTGTAAGGCGGGATAAACTTGAATGAGTTCGCGATCCAGCATGATCGGACCTTGGGAACAGGGTTTAATGGGGGGTTTTATGGGGTAAAAATTGGTTTTTCTCACTTCTTACCCTCAAAACACAAAATTTCCCAATTTTTCTCTAAACCTTCTTAAAGAGCTTAAAAAAACAAACAATTCAGTATATCAAAGTGTTTTTGTACGGTTATTGGTTACGGAGAAAACAAAAACATGGTAAATTTAAAATTCCCATGTTATTCTTATGGAGAATATTGTAAAATGTTGTAGTTTGCTTGTTTATGGATATATTTTGATCAAACTTGGCAAATTTATTTATTTTATAGTAAGCTATCAATATTTTACTAAAAACACACTACTTTATTAGTTCCCTTGTAGCAGCAAACCTAGGTACTCGTTAAACCTATTGTTATTTAAATAGATCAATTGAAAATCAATTCGGCCAAATGGAAATTCGCTTAGACGGCAGGTTTGCTGCGGCGGGGGTATTTTTTTTTGCAATCACTCTATTTATTCCCAAGTAGTCTTCGAATTGAAAGATTTCTTGCTGCGTTTAATTAAATCAACCCGAAGGCACTATAGAGTCATTAAGTTGTAGAAACAGTGATGGAAAAATGTTATGCAAAGTAAATGTAAGTCAGCAAAGAATATTGTGTACCATAGTTAAAAGTGTGAAAAATCTCAAGTAAATATGTGAAAATAGATCTTAACTACTCTTGTAGATAACTAGTTAGTTCATAATCAAATTCTCAAAACGTTATCTGTTCTTCAAACTCAAACACTTAAGTGATTTCATAGTAAAATCAAGAAAAAAGTTAAACTTTGTATAAAACCAATCATGTGTAAGATAGTGTAGTGTCAAGTTATTCATAAACCAAGAATAATTATTGTTTGTTACCAACAATCCAATTATACACTTAATCCTCAATGTGTACCCCACATAACTCATCTTTGGGTATTTACTTATGTAGGTTATCTAATACACGACCCCACTGTAAATAGCTCTAATGTCTCACCATTCTAAAACTCATAAATAATAAAACATAATAATAATATATTAATTTGGTGTGTTGCGCTAGCCAAGTGGTTAACGTGTCTCTGACTTTGGTGCGGGAGGGACAGGTTCGATTCCCGGCACATCCATTTAACATTTATTCTCTCATGACCTCTCTTGTGAAATGCCACAGGCGTAGATAAAAATAAACGGTATCAGCAATCTGACAACAACCTTTACAAGCGGTGGGTAAGCGGTGGGAGTAACTATGATATTTTATAGGGAAAAATCACAAAGTTGCAACAACTTTGAACCGTAATTGTTACAGAAATGGGGGGTTGCACTATTTTGTTTAGAATTATAAGGACCATAACACAATTTTAATCAAAACCAGCGTTTTTCCTAAAATCCGATTTTTTTGTTATTTTGTGGGTTTTTAATGTGAAAATAACATAAGTTACAATTCATTTTTGAACCGTAATTTTTACGGAAATGTGATTTGTACCATTTTGTTTAAAAATTAAAGGAATACAACATGGTTAAGTTTTATCTATGTTTATAAGTTTTATTTATGTTGTAGCCCTTTAAATTGTAAACGAAATGGTAGAACTCCCATTCCTATGAAAATTACGGTTCAAATGTTATTGCCACTTTTGTGAATTTTTCACCATAAAATATACTAAATTTTTATCAAAATCGTTCAGGCCATTTTTGAGAAAATCTGATATTTCCATTATTTTATGGGTTTTTATGGAAAAATCACCATTAAAAATCTAAATTTCAAAAAATTGATAAAAAACACTTGAAAATACCATGGATTAGTAGGCCTACCTACCAAACTTCATCAAAATCGGACAACAGGTGTGGTCTGTGGCTCTGTACA